ATTTGCAAGTGCAAACAGATGTGTCCGAGCGTGGACATATTCAACGACACCTGCATTGCATTTGCAAGTGCAAACAGATGTGTCTGAGCGTGGACATATTCAACGCCCCACACGTTCAGCGCCCGATTGAGTGAGTCACATGTGACAAAACAACTTTTGTTTAAGTAAAAAAAAAACTTACAACAACAAACACTCAAGCACACACATGTACGACATATGGACCAAGATTCAAGGACCACCAGCCTCGACACCAACTATGAATCAAGGTATGTCAAATATCTAATACATTAAACCACCAGTACTTGGCCCAGCTATTGATGTCGAGCCGGGAAACGCCCCGCGCGCCAAGTTTTGCCGAGCCGCCACCGCGTCGTTTCATTTTTCTTTTGGCTGGCGCCTCCAGCCATTGTGGTCCGGTAACCCGAAGTCCATCAGTCGCGGCGCGTTAACCAGAAACGCCCGCGGCCGATGTATGGGCCAAGTACTGGCGGTTTAATACCATACAAATTACCTAAATCCCACACATTCCAACACTAACAGATGTGATAAACACAAACACCCTAAGTATCACACAAACACCCACACACTAATCTTGACACATACACACAAATACTCCTTTTTTTTTCATGCGACAATCACCCTACTTCTAAGCCTCACCAATAACACCTCCTTTATCAATCAAGCATATACAAACTACGGCCTGCGCACCCGTTTTTTTTTTTTTTTGAGAATAGCCCTTGCGATATCCCTCTATCCGGGCGGTGGTAAGAGAACCGTCAGAATTGAGGGCTTACCTGTCGGGCTGCTCCATCTATTGGTGGGGAGCAGCACCTGCTGGAAACCGGGTCCAACGTCCCATCAAAACATCGTATGGCACCGAGATCAGGGTTTGTTGTTTCCTGGGGCTGTGGTTCTTACTGTCTCATCCTCGGGCTCCAACATCCCTTGGAGTTGGAAGTTTTGCCCTTCCCTTTTTTAGGAGTTTCCCTTATCTATTAACCCAACCCTTATTTCAGCAGCCCTCCTATACACCCTATGTACTCTTTATATCCTATTCCCCCTTTTTTTGTTTTGAAGGCTCCGTCTATCGGTGGGGAGCTGCACCTGCTGGAAACCGGGTCCAGCGTCCCAGATACCCCATCACAAGATTGAGGTTAAGTACTCGTAGTTTGACACCCGTACCCTCACGGTAAGTCAATGGGCCTGAGGTTGGGACAGACGAATGCTTGTCCTCCTGCCCTACCCTTAAGCGCGTTTGTCTCTTTCCGTCTTGCATTCACAAGTCCATGCATTCGACAGTGCTCTGTGACGCACTAACCTCACGCCCTCTGTTGTCTTTCGTTCGGAGTGTTAGTTGTGCGGAAAGAGGCCCAAAAAAACAGCAAGATGGGGTGTGCCAAGGATTTTTGGAAATTGAGTGTGGGGACATAGACGAAACTGAAATCCCCCGTGATGGTCTGATGAAGCAAGTCGATTGTTTTCGCGCGTCGCGGAATGCACGCGCGGACAAGGCGCGAAGAGAGAAAAATCCAAATTCAATAAAAAAAGTATTGYCGGGCTTCCCACCGTGCTACGGCCCGTCGTTTAGAGCGGAAGGGCTTTGGTACGCTCCGTGTGTCCCGTTTCCGTATCAAATCTCGTCGCCGTTCGATGGTCAGTTCGGAGTCTGACGTGGATGGTCTCARCSGAGTGGCTCTTTCCTTATGCTCGTCCTCACTCCGTATTCGGTAGTGAAAGCCCTYCGCTTCGTAGCSATCGAAGCGCTGRCACTCTGTGMACAGGGTTCGAGGCCAATGGSGYGCCACTGCCGTCCACGGAATGACGATCAGCTCATTAAAGGGCAACAATATCGAGTAGGGTGGGAAGTGCGTATCGATAATGACAAATCCAGCTTCTATGAATCCTGAACAACGGTCGGCCGGAGGGAAGTAATATTGCCCGCCGATTTGTGCGACGGCCTCTCATACGTCCCACTCACATACACGTGTCTTTTCCTCACTGTAGGGAAAAGGTCGCGTTGGGATGGGAGATACGGGAGGTTGGCGCCCAATCAAAGGGTACTTGTTAGTCCACATGTCAATCAATCACACATATCCCGAGACGTCATTAAGAACAGAAGCGATTCGCGCGACCCCCAATCAATCCTTTTGACACGAGAGAGAGAGGGAGACAGCAAACACACATCAGCTTGATCATGCATATGGCTAAGGAACCGACCCGCGACTCAGTTCAACACAACATTGGTCCCTGGCGCCTCGTTTCTCACGGCCACCCGGTGGCTTGGATGCTGATGTCGTGCAACATAAGGCAAATGGCATGCGCAGTGCACTCGGAACCACATATCTAAACACCCTTGCATTCTCGAACAAAATCCCGGCGACAATCGTCTAATCAACACAAAAAGAGTCACACGTTTCCCTACATGCATTCACTGTGGAAGGTGCAAAAATGAGACATGCACAGGAAAAGATGGATCGCACTGCACAGTACACATGCATCCACCGTTCACAAGACAAGAAGACAGGGTCCTTGCGTAGGAGGATTACCCAGGAAACTAATGGAAGAGTTCCGGAAGAAGTTCTTTCACACAGAAACAGGATGCCGACTCATTCCCATTCAAGAGAGGGACAATCATTCAGACGCATCATCATTCGAAAAGAGAAAAAGAGAGAGAGAGAGAGAGAGAGAGAGAGAGAGAGAGAGAGAGAGAGAGTCAAGGGAAAGAAAGTCAAAATAGAAGATGACAAGGTCCGGAAAGAGAAAAGTTTGGCGTCGCCGCCGTACACTCACGCCAAAGATAACAATCCGCAACAAAGGCGCATTCGCCGTTAATTCCAATATGGCCCTGGGCCAATCAACTCAACTCCGATCATCGATCCTCATACCCGCACCGACGATCCCGGCCGTCGCGTGCTAACTCCCACCACTGCGATCGTCACCCCGCTGTCGTAAGCTCGACACGGTCCGCCCGGATCCCACAGTTCGTCGTGGCGATCAAGCGCGCAACCGGCCAGCCTATCGTCAGCCCGACAAGACTTTCCGACTCGCATCAACCCACTCTGCCTAGCCACTGCTTCGCGAAAACTGGCTTAGGAGTCGAGTACGTAAGAGAGCTTTGCGGACGCGCTTGCGGGTTTTATAGTTGCGACAGGGGAGATAGAAGGGGGAGAAGCTGAGGTGTAAGAGGAGAAGCAGGAGGAGAAGACTTTGAGAAGAGTGTTCTACGAACGCCATGTTGATCCCTCGAAACTCAAGGTTCAACCAATCAGATTCGCCGCGCAATAGGAAGGTCCTATTGATCCGCGCACCTGATTGGCGAGCGGGAGTTATTGATGGATCGACTGAGCRTCGTGCGCCAGACTCAGAGGGTGAGAAGAGAAAAGGCGCGAGAAGTAGCGCAAGAGGGGTCCAAGATTCAGATGATCAAGAAAGGGAAACGGGCGCGCAAAAGGCAAGGCAGGAGAGAGAGAGAGAGAGAAGGAAAACAGTTACGGGGAGAGAGAAAAAAGAGGGAGAAGGGAAGGGAGGCGCGGGAGGGAGCGATGCGGGGGATAGAGAGGAGAAAGCTCTGCATACATGGCGCCGTCAACAAAAAGAAAGAAAAAGGCACCGAAACAGTTATGGCTTGCTTCTCTCCTAATTCAAAATTAAAATCACCATATCCGCGCGCAAAAAAGCGATGTGGGAAAAACAARTCTGACGCCTATTCGTATTCTCGCAAAATTCCGAGAGTTTTCCCCGACTCGCCCAAGAACATTCACACACTCGAAAAGGACACGTCGAAACTTCGCTTATCCCAGAATTCCCAACTGCCGAGCCCAATTCCCAGTGCGCTCGCTAAGGTGCACGTAAATTCCCATGTATTTCCCGACTTGCAAAAAGGAAAAACAGATCCCAAAAGTCGAAAAAGCCTTCAGAAAAGAAACAAGAAATCGAAACGGGGATTTTTTGGGGGTCGGTATGATACAAGCAAAAGAAGGGGTACGGAAGATGGCACGGGTTCGGGAAGTGGTTCGTCACATATGTGACGCGCAGGGGGTTCCAAAATTATGCGATCTCCTGATTGCATGTCATGGCGGAGGAGGAAAGAAAAAGGGGAAGAACAGAGTGATGCATGAGGAACCAAACATATCAACAGAGCTTCCAGAAAGAAGCACAAGGGGTGGTAACTGAGCCGCGGATGAGACGGCGACAACATCCGTGGCAAGACCTCTGCAACCCTGTCATATGCAACCCCCTGCCCTGTAGAGATCGTTCAGGTGACGCCATCACGGTCCACCTGATCTCCGTGTGCTCTGCACCCCAACTCGTTGATGCCCGTCGAATCAGAGCGTAGCTTACTGATTCGTGTCGATGAGGAGAGGAGGGGGGGGGGGTACGTGAATGGGGCCTACCGCCTAGTTGGAATAGGCCAATAGAGACGGTACATGGAGGGGATCTCGCGGGGATGACGGGGAGGAAGTGGGGGTAGGAAGCGATTCATCCCTTCCATCGTCACCGGGAGCTCCTCATATCGGATGATCCGGTGGAAGTGGGGGAAATAATCGCCGCTGCAGGGAAGGGAAGCGAGGTAGTCGCCGCTCGAAAGATCTCGAAGTGGCGGCAAGCGGGGATTGTCCCCACGGTGACGCAGTAAGCCTCTACCACGTTGCATCGTTCCCATGCAGCGCTGAACAGCCGGAGATGTCAGCAGAACGTGGGGGCAGCGGATTGAAGGGAGGCGTGGGGGTGGATGGTGGCGAGTAGACGGGTAGAATAGAAGTTTAGGAAGAGATGGGGATGGAAGGGATGGGAAGGGAAGGTGACGGGGGTACGGATCTGCTCGAGGGTGAGGAAATCAATGGGTCGGCGGGACAGCGTCCGAGGACGAAGGCCTATCGCCCGCATCGGTACGTGGGCGAACTGGGGGACGGGTGGGGCTGGAGGAGGAGGGGGATCGGCTCAGTCTCCGTCGCACGGTACTTGAGGTGGCGGCTGCAGGGTCGCCATCTTCGGGCTTCGGCGGCTCTGGATCCCTGGTCGGATCGTTACCGATGCGCAGGCTAGCTTCGTTGGTGAACTCCAGCTGGCGCTTCCCGGTGGCAATTTCTTCGCGCTTTCGCGCCGCTTTCGGATCTTCCGCCTCCATTCCCGTGCACGTCGCTTCCTCCGGCAAGGCTTCCCACTCGGACCCGGTTCCTTCTTCTTCCTCTGCCTTCTCACTCATCTCGCCCTCGCTATGTTCACTATAGCTTCCCTCCTCCGATGTTTCTTCGTCGTCGTCTTCTTCCTCGTCGTCGTCGTCGTCGATCACCACTTCCTCTGCCCTCGGATAGAAGGCGTGAGGGATGATCTCGTACGGCTTCAGATACTCCTACCGCGATGGTAGCGTATCCTCGTCCCTAGGTTCCTCCAAGCATGCAGTCCACTGAAGGTACGGATCCAATGATCGCTCGAAAATGTACGGAGCAGGACTGTCGTCACTCTGAAAATAGATGTCGGGCGAGAGATCGTCCGCCAATTGCACGATCGGTGCGATGAGCTCCTGCGCAATCAGGTGGCGTCGACCCGGCCGTACCGATCCGAAGAGAAAGCCAAGAAGATCTCCTTCCACGTTAGTTCTCCAAGCCGGTATGATCAGCAGCTCCGGATTCTCGATCCACGCGGGATGCTCGCTAGTGCCCGTCCACGTCACCTGTACTCTGGCCAAGCAGAAGGATAGCTCCTCAAAGGTTTCGTGCCACATTCGCCAATGTCCAGGATTGATAAGAGGGACTGAAAGAGGCTCGAACGAGAAGGAAAGAGAAGGATGAAGATCAGACTGCCAGAAGGTGGGGAAGAGAGAGGGAAGACCAAACATAGAGAGAGGAGCGAGAAGATCAGCGTGGTTCATTGGGGATGTGGGAAGGAGACGAGGGTTGGGATCGCAACTGGCCTCTCGCGCGGTGATTGGCGAATATCGCCAAGATCCGATGCAAAGATCGGGATGATGTTATACCCCTGTCGGGCGAGGACGTGCTGCCACACGTTGGACACTTGCTCCCTCCACTCGCGCAGCGAGGTCAAGATCGCGGTATGCCACAGTGGATTGACCGAGCTGATGTCACCGGTGAATGCCGCCACCGTGGTGACGTGGCTCATTCTGGGACCCGCTCGCCGATGAACTGGTCACTTCCACGAATACTACTGCGTGAGGACTTTCTTCGATTCGAAACGCGGCAGCGGCACAGATACCTTCGTCGCAGAAGAATCGCATCAAGCGCTGAAGATCCGCATTGAGCTGAGGGTGACAAACTTGTCGAATCTCTGAGATATGGCCACGTGGCTGCAACAGCTGAACGTCAAGAACCAGCTCCGCCATAAAACTCATGGCGAGGTCGGAGAGAAGGACGAAGGACAAGAGAGAGAAGGACGGGAGAGAGTTAGATCGTCGTCGTTCTCCTCGCTTTCCGAGGAAGAAGAGGGAGGAAGATCAGAAGGAGGAAGGAGACAGAGGTAGGAGGTATGCCGGACGATGGGGACAAAGCTATGGCTGGCACTAGCCTTAGGAGCGATGCGCATCGTGTTGGCGCCGTTGGGTCCGAGTTCGACAACGTGAAAACAGCCAGAGAACTCGGGAGCGAGTTTTCGGTCGCGTGCACATTTACGTACCTGCACTAGGTCCCCTAATTTATATTGGTACTGGGGCCCAACATTTCCATTCCGGGCCTCGTAGCTACGGACCTGTCTACCGTGGGCCAGTTCGGTCATCCTTTGCCTTTTTCGGGCTAGCTTCGGGACGGCCCGTTCCATTAATTCGGTGTACCTTTTGGCCTTGGCCTTGAGAGCTGCACGCGTGTCCCTACCCCCTGCTTCGGCAATTTCCGAGTTACCCCGGTAATCGACACAGGGGAGGCTATTAGTTCGAAGCTGAAAGGGGGTAAACCCCGTAGACTCGTGAGGGGTGGCCCGGTGGATCCCGACGATCTGATATACGATTTCGGGCCAAGGACGCGTGTCGTGTGTCGCTAAGTTCCTGCGAAGGGCGGTTTTAATCATACGGTTGGCATTCTCGGCCAACCCGTTCGACTGGGACACGTGGGGTGCTGTATGTCGGAGCGTGACACCCCTTCGCGCAAGCAGTTCCTCTACCTCACCTTTGAATTCCGACCCATTGTCAGTTACCGTATCTAGATGGGTATAGAGGAACCCTTCGATGTACGTGGCTATTTCTGCGGCCTTTCGGGTCTTACAGGGATAGACTTCGATGTATTTGGAAAAATGGTCAATTAAAACTAACAGGATAGAATATTCACAGCGGTTTAGGCCAGGTGGCACGTCAATATCTGTCGTGTCCATTCTGACTCGTTGGAAAGGACGCTCTACTCCCGTTGGTACGATCGTGTTTGGTCCCCGTATAGGGCCACGATCAGCGGCACAGACCAGACAGTTAGCGACAATGTACTTGACGTCATCTCGTATATTAGACCAGAACCGATGGTTCTGGTCTACAGTTGCCTCTGTGACACGTATTGCGAAATGAGCGGCCTGTTCTTCGTGAGGGGATCAGATCCAATCGTATCTCTGGAAGGGGTGGGGAACCGTCAACCACGAACCTGATCCGTCTGTTTTACGCTTTTCCAAATGATCGTTGATCCATCGATAGTCCCGCGATCTCTCGGTTGCCCTGCGTCTGTCGTGTTTGATGAGGTGGCCCAATGATAATCCCGCTAATTTCACTAATAAAATTTTATCCGTCCAAACCTCCGCTCGTCGGTATTTTTCATCGTATTCAGGGTCGTCCGTACAGGCGGCCTCAAATCGAACCTCCGTGGGGAGCTTGTTCGTTCTACACAGGGGGCACCTCCATTCCTTGCTACTCGTCCGATATCGAACGCAGGCCCCGTGCGAGCAGTTGACACACGTGGCACATTCTACCCAATCGACAAACTCGGTCTCGAAAGGATGACAGTCGACCCCATAGACCCGTGCAATGCACGTGCAAAAATAACAGAATTTATCGGGGAGGGTGGCAAAGAAAGCGGAGGACGTGAGAGGGGCAAAATTAGTAGGAGATGAAGGGGTTGCGGAGGCGAGTGGGGTAGTCATGATGATAGAGGAGGAGGGGATGCAGGGAGGGTAGAACAGAACAATTAGTCCTCGTGTCACTTACTACTTCGATAAGATCTCCACTTGGCCGTACCGAGGTCCGTTCTCCTGTTCAGGTTCGTTCCACGGAATCACCTCCTCATTTTTTGGAACTTTCTCAGGCCGGTGCAGCCGTGTCAGTACGTCTGCATTCTCGTGTCTCTCGTGCTTCTGATGACGAATGTCAAAGTCCATGCTCTGTAGCACCGTTGCCCATCGCCCGATCATGCCCGAGTAATCCTTCGACTTCTTCAGAGCCAACAGGGGCTCATGATCAGTCACCAGGGTGAATTTTCGCCCGTACAGGTAAGCACGAAAGTGACTGATTCCCCAGAGAGCCGCATAGCATTCACCCGTTGGAGCGGCGTAGTTGCGCTTGCAGGCGGGCACTGATTTGGACGCATACTCCACCACACTCTCGAGTCCGCTTGGTCCCACTTGGGCAAGGATCGCCGAAATCGCTTCTGGTTGCCAGTCAGTGATGAGAACAAAAGGTTTTTCGGGATCCGGTCTTATAAGGACCGGAGCCGAAATGAGAGCGGCCTTGAGTGTGGAAAACGCTTGATCGCATTCCGGCGTCCAGATCAACGGTTGATCCTTGCGCAACAGATTTGTRAGGGGTCCCGCAATCGGCGCGAAGCCCTTGATAAATCTTCGGTAGTACGAGGCTAGGCCCAGAAAGGCGCGAACTTGCGTGATAGTCGTAGGCACCGGCGCGTCCCTGACAGCCGCCACTTTCTGCGGTTCCGGTTGGAGTCCCTTGTCTGTCACCATGTGCCCTAGGAAGGAAATGGTGGCGAGGAAAAACTGACACTTCTCAAGCGCCACTTTGAAACCTGCATCTCGTAACGCATGCAGTGCCCATTCGATGTGCTGCACGTGTCCCTCGTAGGAACTCGAATACACCAGGATGTCATCCATGTACACAATCACGCAGTAGTTGATGATGCTCTGCGCCAAACAAGTCTTCCGCACGAAATTCTGAAAAACCATGTTCATGGGCCGCTGAGAAGTCACAGGGGCGTTGCAGATACCCATCGGACATCAAATCCATTGCCACGTACCTTCGAAAAGTACAAACGCGGTTTTCGGACGATCTTCTTCTCGGACAAGAAGACATTGGAATCCATGACGAACATCAAACTTGCTAAAAAATCGAGCACTCCCAATCGCATCCAACAATTCATCAATCCGGGGGAGAGGGTACACATCTTTAATCGTGATATCATTCAATTTTCGATAATCAATACAAATACGAATCCCTCCGGCCTTTTTAGGTACGATCACTACGTGAAAGGACCATGGACCTATAGCAGGTTCGATCCATCCATTAGCTTCAAACTCCTTAATCCGCTGAAAAGCGGCCGCTCTTTGAGCTGGCGAGTATCGGTAGGGAGCGCAGCTAATGGGCGGATGATCTCCCGTGAGGATGGCATGCTCAATCACATTAGTTAAGCCGATATCATTATCATGCCTGCTCAACACTTCTGCGTAACCATTTAACACACATATTAACGACTTTCGAAGTTCCGCGGGAACGTGACTCAGGAGGGGGATTGTTGATTCCCCGGAAATCTTGAGGGGCATATCGACCCAATCAATCGGCCGTTCCCGCCGTTCACCGACACTAGAGAAAACGGAACTACTGGTGCGAACAGAGAAGACAGTTGCTATCATCTGGGACTCAGCGGGGATGATCATCTCTGTTTCTTTAGTTTCAGCGTCGGTCTTTGAACCAACCGAGGTCGGTTCCACAGTTAGCCCTGTTAGATCCGTCATTTCTTTCATCAGATTAGGTACGTCACTTACCAGTGCTTCCGCCTCTTGTTTAATAAAGGCGATGGTGGCTCCTGTCGTTAGTAACGATCTGGGCGGAAAAACAGAGACATCCAAATACTGTTCCATTTGTTGATAACGCGTTTGTAAGGAAAGAGCTCCCTCGTACAAGGTGCGAGGGGGTTCCAAATCATCAGCCAGGTTGGAAACTTGTAATAGGGGTTCCCCGAGGAGGACTTAAGGACTGACCTGGGTTGTTAGAGGCGTGAAGGCACTGTCTTCGGAATCCACGTGGAAGCTTCGGGCGGTGTCGGGGCACGCTTGAAATTCTTCGGGGGTTTCATGTTCGAAAAGTTCAACCGGATGTTTCCATTCTTCCTCGCTGGGCATCTCTTCTTCGTATCCTTGCTCCCTGATTCCATCCCCGAGGCGCGAGGGAGAACACTCCTCGGGATCAATGTATCGGATCATCCCTATTTGGGCCGGGTTAGGGACCCGTTTTATCGTTCAGGTGGAAACTCGCAAAGGAACAGTTTGAGGTTTTTCCCCAGTTTGTGTGAGCACCAGTTGCTTCGAATCGAAATGCAGACGTGCGCCCACCGCCATCGCCCAAGGTAATCCCAACAACACAGAATAGGAACGTACATCTATTACGAGCGCGTTAACAAGGACGTGTACTCGTCCAACTTTTACAGCCACATTCTCGATAATGCCTACGATGTTCATTGCTTCCTCGTCGGCAGAGACATAGTTGTCTTTGCCAGATTGAGGAAGGATAGATCCAAGTCGTCCCGTCTTTTTGACAGTATCCAATGATACGGCCACTGCATAAGATCCTGTGTCGATAAGGGCATTAAACGGCTTGCCCCAAACTTCACAGTCACATTCCGCACTTTTCCATAGTACCGGCCGAGCTCGTACGAAGTGATCCTTTTCTGCTAAAGAAATTGCTGCTATACGTGCAACTTCGGGTTCAGGTTCTTTTGTGTCCGATTCGGGGGGTGCAACTTCCTCACTTTCTTCTTTCTTCTTCAACATCCGTTGTATGCGTTGATAAGTGAAACGCTTTTGATTTTTCTGGCAATGTTGTAGAAGCTTATCGTTCGCCACTTCAGATATGGTGAGTAGATGTCCCACTGGGATGGGCACGCGAATATCTAGTTGCTTGAGCGTTTTCAGTACATCAATGTCTCCTGTCCGAAACTG